GAATTAAGTAAGCAGGGATACATTCATGTTGTTCCAAAATATAGATCATATCATTTTTAGTTTTGGACATGTGTTTCACTTCCTTTTGCTCATTTTTTAGTCATCATTAATGAAATATAGCAAGACAAAGTTATCATATCACTGATTTCCCCTCTATTTTTGACATCATTGATAAACAGAGTTATCATTTTTACTTATTAAACTTATAACCAGATTTTTAAGAATCTAGAGGCATATGACAACCTGGTATCAGGCTAGTAGTATTTTTGGCTACAAGGCACTAGACCAAAACAAAATCTTCAAGCCTGCCAAGACAGGATGCCATGTACCAAGTAGTGTATTATTAATAATTAATGGTCAAAGTGCCCAAGAAATATCCATTGGCCAAAACACTGCAGTTACTTTTCCAATTCTCGCATAATACAACATTTACATTTTATATATTTATAAAATGTGTTTATATGTGTAATCCTGTCATTCTTTTATTCCTTGGTCATATGACATCATAGTGGCTCTGCATGTGCTAACATTTCTAAGAAAAGGAGGTTGTGACATCTCATTCTTGTATCATCTTCTACATCATTCTTTTTCCTTCAGTATAAGTCTCTGTGAAGAACAGAGGTAACTTCAGCTAATCTAATTTTTGCTATATATGCCATATAATTGCCTGAGTGTATAGTAGGAACAGACTTGAAATCTGATCTGTGGTTCACTCTTCTAGCCCCCTGAATCTTGCTGACCTTTTTGAATTTACTTTGTTTTGATTATCTTGTACCTGTGTAAATACAGGGACAGATGTTTCAAGAATATCTCAAAGCCTCATAAAGAGACCACTGGCTTCTTTATGTGTGTCAAAACTTCCAAGGTGTAAAGAAGACATTCAAGCAGCTAAGGATATCTCCCTAAGAGCAGGAGGGGTAGTATGTTCAGGACATTCCTGGGAAAGCTTAGAAACAGTATTCTTGGGAGAAATGCATAAATGATACATGAGAAAATTTCCATCAATCTAATATCCTCAGATTGTACATATATTAAAAGTCACCCAAATATGCAACAGGTGGAGATGAAAATCAAAGGTATCACAGCAGCTGTTATGTGGCTCAGCTGTGCTGAATCTTTGTCAAGCAGCTATGCAGGCTTTATGATTTCTGCCATGCTCATCAGATATGGCTATGTCAACTGTCTCTCTAAATACAGTGTTACACAAAATCATTATCAGATAGGAACCTTACCATTCAAAGGAAAAATAGCATCCATGAACATACAAAATTCTTATTTAAAAAAGAACACTAAATATGAAAGACAAAAGATTCAAAAACTTCTCTAGTGGAAAAAGTTAAGCTCTTTAGAAGGACATTATTAAAAGGTGTTTTAAACACTCAAGCAAGTGTTCAAGAACAGAAATTGTGTCATAAATTCATGCAGAAAGAAATTATAAAAACCCAAGGGAATAAGAATCATTCTCCCAGGCTGGTGACATCTCAGGGAAACCGCTATAAATCTAGTGACAACATAGGTGGAATCCTTGGTTTCTTCATTTTGCTTGAATCCTGATACCATGCTGATGGCCAGACTCAAGAAGCAATGGTAACATGCTTTGTATCAACTTCCAGAATCACTGTTTTCTCTCTCAGGTATACAGGGCAGTTGCATACAATCAGCATTTGGTCACTACTGAACAAACGTCTCCAGAAAGAATAGGTGATAATTAATTTCAGATTTTTCCCAGATGGTGATCTCTTTAACGTATACTTCAACATTTTCACTGATGGATTTAAACTATATGTATGTAGTCAAGTATTTTAGAATAACAGTATGTGCTCTTAACCATTGAGCATCTCCCTAGTCTCTAAAATGTGATATTAAACTGACATTATTTCCCTTTGGCTGATTCAATTTTCCTCAACATAGTCATGCTGACACTTTGCATATTTCATATTCTATATTCAAATTGCTTTAATTGATAGTTTATAGAATGTGTTGATAGAAACTATTGATTTGGTTTGTTGTGGTGACAAAAGCTTGAAATACTAGCATCAAGAAAGAAAGAGCAAATCTGAAATTTAAAGTCATTCTAGGCTAAGGAAGTGGCGTGTTTGAGTGTAGCCTGGGCTGCATCAGTCGTTGTTACCCTTCCTCCCTCCACTGCCTGTCCCCATCACAAAATAGATATCTACTCCTTTATCTTCCATGGACCCATAACACTGAAGTCTGATGGTTCAATAAATAGTGCAAGTCAATTCTATAGGCAGCCTTTCTCATGCATGTTTAATAACAGAAAGTAAGCTGTTTTTCTTTCTAGTTGACATTTTATTTAATCTCATTTTATGTTAGCACATGACAGTGTAGAAAGTTACAAGAAATAACTCACAGTTTTATGTGACTCAGGTACTCTGCTTTAATGTGAATACCTTTGTCAATATCACAAAAAAAGTCATGAACAAACCATACTTAACCAAACATTTTACTTACATTTAGCTTAATTTTTAATTATAACCACTTTTATATTGTATGAATAAGTCTATATTACTGCCCATGCTTAGGTCAATTTTGTTTTCAGTGGTTTAAAGTCATAACCCATGTGATCATAAACCATGACTGCATTTTATTTATTCTCCATAGTGGATGTGTTAACATGAGTTTTGGAACTTTTTTTACTGGACAAATGACTGTGTCATTTTGTTTGCCACAAACAAGCATTGAGTATATGAATTGTAATTAGGATGATGAAGATAAATTCATTTAGTATTAAAACAATTATAGGGTTATATTTTCCTTGGAATTTCTTTGTTTTCTTCTTTCGGGAAGGCTCACGCAGGAGTATCTGACTTGTACCATTAATTTTAAAGAACATGAGAGGGAACTGTGCATGGAAATTTTCATAGATCACTGAAAGCTATAAAAATAATTCACTATATGAGTAAATATGAAGAAAAGAAATTCTCAGGTTTGACCACATGTGAGCAGGAAATATAACTGAAAGTATCTTTACTTCTTTCTGATTATATGTGACAACTTGTTCTTATTTTTGTGACATTTAGAATGAAACCCAAGGCTTCCAGAACTTTCAGAACATAAAATGACCCAATTCACAGCAGAGAAAAGGGTGAGAAGTTTGGATCTCAGCCCATGTCTGAGTGTAGAGTAGCTGTGGTTTCATTTCTATTTTAATTGTCTGAAATTCTAAGGTCCATTCAGACATTCATGCATGGGCACCATGCCTTGCTGTCTCTTATAAACTACTTTGTCCATCCTGATTTAGCTTTGAAGAACAACTAGTAATCTAAGTAGTGATCACTGTAATTTAAAGTAAATGCTTATTTGCTGATCCAGGAAATTTATAGGGTTTGTTTCAGACCAGTTTCCTTGCTTATAGTACGAGAGTAGATGGAGTTCATACTACATTTGCTAGTGAAGAATTGCCCTCAGGACTTCATGTAAATGGCTGTTGTAAACTAAATAGACTATCATAATTGCATGACATAAGAAGGAATGTCCACTTTCCTCAGATGTCAGCCATTGAAACATCTCATTTTTTTTTCTCCTCAGAACAAACCCATTTTTCTTATACACACAGGTATTTGTAATAGTAAACATGCATGTATACTGATGCATATACAGGAACATGTATATGCAAGCATGTATTCACACATGAGAATATTTTACCAGTAATGATAACAGAAACCATTTAGGTTGTGACTGCCTGAGGAAAATCAATCACAAAGCTGGAATATTCATACAGAGATTTTACTCAACTGTGTGAGTGACATAATTGAAGGTTTTTTGTGAATTAATCACACCTAGCATTATAAAGGAATGCTACTATAAGTAACATTTTGATTTTTTTCAAATTTGACAATTTAATACCTGGAGATGAGCAGATAAGATATTATGACATGCTTTATATTGAACTCTTATGAACTTCAAAACATATGCCTTGGCAAATAATTAAGTTCCAAAACTACATTTTATTTGAGGGAGAGTTTCTCTTATTTAGCTATGTGTTGTCACTAAATTTCATTCATAGCTGATTGGTCCTTGGCCTTCTGCTTTTTCTTCATTGATTCTGTTGCCTTTATGGAGATGTCTTATTTTCATAAAAACGAACTTTTAGAGAGTGAAAGAGATTAAAAATAACATCCTTTTCCTGAGGTTCTTGCAAAGGAGAAACGATGTCACTCTTCACCTTGTTTATTTGGTGGCAACATCATGGATGTTAATGTTTGAGTCTCTGAATCCCAGGTTGATTGTCTTTTCTTTGTGTGTTTGATTGTTAAACTTTGATAACTTTTGCAAAATAAACAAACCACTGTAATGTACTGCTGACTAGGACTAGGTATTTAAGTTTGGAGCAATTGCTTTTTTTTTTGTAGTATTACACTTAGCTGTTATGAAAACAGGATAAGTTTTGCAACATACTTGTTAGAATAAAATGATGAATTTTATGAAAATTCTAACATTCCACCATATGCATAATGATGAGTGATGCATGTTTTCCCAAAGAATTTTCTGTTTTATAAAGAACAGATTAAGATATTGGAAGTTTCAATGAAGTCATACTTTTACACACATTTAGGTTGAATCTATGATTTTGAAGATTGACTTAAAATACATTTTTACCTCCTCCATTGGCAGATGAGGCAGTGCTCTGATAAGTCAATGAGGACTTACATTCTTTCTTAATTTATATTCAGAATAGTTTAAAATGCATTTTAATATTTAACTTCAAAATGCCATAAATACTGATGAAAGCTGACGTTTCACAGACAGGATACTGGCTCTACTCTCACCCAAGTAGATGATTTTCACTCCAATATATTAACTGAGGCTATTGAAAATACTTAATTTATAACAACTTCAGTACTACCTGTTATGGAACTGCATCTTTAAAAACTTACAATATTATTTTTCAATGACAAAACAAGAGAGGAAGCAACAACTTATGCATTGTGATTACATAAATTGAATGGGGTATTCTTTTCTTATAATTTCAGATTTACATGAAAAGATTTTACTTCAGCATCTTCTTGAGAGTAATGCAAAACCACAGCTTTGTCACTCAGTTCATACTCCTTGGACTTTCACAGAATGCAGAAGTTGAGAAAATATTGTTTGTGATATTTTTATTGATCTACCTTGCAACCCTTTGGGGCAATATGATAATTGTGGTTACCATTATCTACAGTCCCACACTGCTTGCTTCCCCCATGTACTTCTTTTTGATATTCTTGTCCTTACTGGATGCATGCACTTCATCTACTGTCTCACCCAAGATGATTATAGACTTCTTCTTTGAGAGAAAGACCATTTCATTTGAATGCTGTATGACACAACTATTTGCATTCCACTTTTTCAATGGGATAGAGGTAATTGTCCTGTCAGCTATGGCTTATGACCGCTATGTGGCCATTTGCAAGCCTTTGCACTACACTTCCATTATGACCCGGAGGATCTGTGGCATTTTGGTGGCAATATCCTGGGCTGGAGGATTCTTGCATTCTATCATACAAATTACCTTTACTTTGCAGCTGCCCTTCTGTGGACCTAATGTCATTGATCACTTCATGTGTGACTTGTTCCCATTACTGAAGCTTGCTTGTACTGACACACACATATTTGTCATTTTAGTATTTGCTAACAGTGGGTCTATTTGCATCATAATTTTTTCTATTTTGCTTGTCTCCTATGGTGTAATATTGTACTCTCTGAGAGCCCACAGCTCTGAAGGGCGACTTAAAGCTCTCTCCACCTGTGGATCCCATATCACTGTTGTGGTTCTGTTCTTTGTATCATGCATATTAATATATGCACGACCTACGGCTGCCTTCTCTTCTGAAAAAAATGTGCTTGTATTTGCTACAATTATGACACCACTTGTGAATCCGATGGTCTACACTTTCAGAAATCAGGAAATGAAGAATGCCATCAGGAAAATGTGGAAGCAATTGATACTGCTTTGTGATGATTATTAAAATATACTTTCAATGCTGGGGAGACAGACATGTTAGTAATAGCAATGTTGTACAAATGTAAGATATTATTAACAATTCTATGTACCCATGTCAAAAGTCAGGCATGGTAGCACAGTTTTAACAAAATACTGGTGAAGTGAGTTATTGCAGATTACAAAGTCTTAAGGAAGTAAGGTAAAGAACAATAAATGGATAGATTCAGTGCCTTCATTTGCCTCAGCACACATGTGGACAAGTACATATACCATTTACCCCTCATTTATTTACACATATACACACTTTTCACATATGTACACACACACACACACACACACACACACACACACACACACACACACAAGTAATTACACTTAGAAAACTAATCTAAAAGATAAAGAAATCGCTATTTGTTAGGGAAAGTATTTTGTTAATTATTTGTCACTATTTTGAAAAAGATGACCTCATTTTCTATAGGATGAATTAATTGGGATGGCTTATCTGTGTTTCTCAGATCACACTTTTACTATGAGTTGAATAATTAGCATTGATGTGTGAAAATTACAGTAAATTTAAATTGTACTTTCAAAATCTCTAAAATTCAAGGGTTTTTAAAATATTGGAAGAGGTAAAATTGTCTGTAACAAGAAAGAATAAAAGACCCAAAGACAAATACCAGGGTTCAAACTGCTGAATATCTGAAAGACAAAGTAGCTGGCCACTAGCTTCTTACCTCTACCTCAGGCTATATTTGCCTTCACGGGTTCTCACCAAGCCTCAGACTGTAACCTTTCCTCAGCATGGCTGGAAAATAAATGCCTGATATTGACCTTGCTTCTGCCTTATATGCTTGCCTTTTGCTGGGATTTAAAGTGTAAACTTTAATTCCCTTTTAGACTGAGCCACTGTTGTGTAGATCTGGGTGCCCGTTGACTCACAGAGATCTGTCTACACCTGAATTATGAATCCTAGAACTAAATGTGCCTACCACCAACTCCTAGCTTCTGACTGTTGGCATTAAATGTATATTCATGGATTTTAAGGCTTGTGGATGGCTTTGTTTTCCCGAATTCTCAGTCATGCTTTAATAAATAATATATCAGTACAATTGTTCCAAATGTAAATGTGTATTTGAAGTAAGGAGAAGAAACATATGTTCAATAGAAAGTGGGTCTCAATAGAAAGTGATTGAGTGGGTCTCATATCATGTGAGACCTTAGATCTTAGAAATGCCAAGGACCATAGGTAAATCCTGAGGCCTAAGTGTTGCTGGATCATCTAAACACATTTGAAAGTGAGTTTATTCATGCCTGGAGGAAAATTTGAGTTAGGTCTTGAATTTCTAAAAGGACTAGACAGAGTTTCCAAAGACTGATATGACTATTGTTTTGGAATAAGCTCTGTGACCTTATTCTCAAGGGAAAACCCTTGTTACAGCATAAACTGAAGGCAAATACTGATTATTATCTAAGATGTTCATATACTGACCACATCTCCTGCTATTTACAGATGGCTCAGTTAGGATTTCTATTGCTCACCATAAGAATCACCATAAGCATGTCTCCTCTATAAGGAGAAACCTTTTTTTTGAGTGACTGATAGTTTAAGAGGTTTAGTACAATATCATGGTGGAAAATGGTACCATGCAGGTAGACATGGTGCTGGAGAAAGAGCTGGGAGTAGAGAATGAGCTACATCTTGGTCTCTCAGGCAACAGTAAGTGAATAGAGACACTGGATATTATCTTGAACAGAGGAGTCCTCAAGGACCACCCCACAGTGACACACTTCCTGCAACAAAACCACAACTACTTCAATAGGTCCACATATCTGATGGGGGAATTCCTAATGTGTATATGTTTGTCTTATTGGTTGATAAATAAAGCTCTGTTGGCCAATAGGGAAGCAAGATAGGTAGGGCTAGGAGTCAAGGAGGATTCCGGGAAATGTAGTAAAGAGGAGTTGCCATGTGATCCTGGGAAGAAAGTATATATGCCTCTGGCTTCCTCAAAAAGATAAGTCTTTATAAAATATAAATATTAATGGCTATGGTTGATACTTATGACAGAACTAGCAAATAAGAAATCCTAATCATTGGCCAGCAGCATTGTCACTAATATAAGCCTCTGTGTGTTATTTGTGGGCCCTAACATGGCAGCAGAACTCAGCTGGAAAGAGTTATTATTACACACATCCTAATAGTGCTATTCGCTATTAGCTTATGCACACCAGCTACATATAAACTACCACAAGAGAAAAGAGAATCTAGATTAAGCAGATTTGAAATTTGTTTTCATAAAATTAATAAATTTCAATTTATTTTATGTTAGTGTTCATTTTCCTCTTATAATTTTTTGAGTTCTTTTGAGAGAGGGATTTCATATATGAATACAGATTTGCATCATTTCATTGCTTCTCTGCTCCCTTCAATTCCATCTGTGTTTCTCATCCTTTCTCAAATGGCATGTCCTTTTCTTTTCTAATAATTATTGTTATACACACACACACACACATATTACATATAGATTCATAAGTGACAACTACTGAGCTTATTTAGTGTTGAATATATATAAATATATGTATGTGGGGGTGTGTGTTTGGGGGGCTTACATCTTGGAATTTGGTAACACAGGCTTATCCTTGGAGGAAAAAATGATTCGCCTTCTGATTTTAATGTTGTTAAAATTGTGTATCCATGTGAAAAATTACAATCCATATCTAAATATATAACAATGATGAATGCAATTTATATATTTATGTCACTTTTTATGTATTTTTTCCTTAATTTTTGTTTTGTTTTCTTAAGGCATAGTCTTGGCAGTCCTGAAACCCTTTATGTAAACAAGGCTGGCCTTGAACTCACAGAGCTTCACCTGTTACTGCCTTCCAAGTGCTGGAACTAAAAGAATACACCACCATGACCAACAGTTTATATTTCCTTATACGCAGAATCTTCAGAAAATTAAATTGAATATAACATATTTTCTCCATTTAACCAAAGGTCTAACATTCCATGGAAATATTGTCACCCATGGAAACTCCAGATGGCCTGGAAATCTCATTTCTAAGAAATTCAAGAATACCTAAAAGCCAGGAATTGGTGATACATGCCTTTAATCCTAGTACTCAGGAGACAGAAGCAGGTGAATCTCTGTGAGTTCAAGGACAGCCTGGTCTACAGAGTGAGTTCCAGGACAGCCTCCAAAGCAATACAAAGAAACCTTGTCTCAAAAAAAAATAAAAATTACCTAAAATTTTCTATCATACATGAACAAAGTCACATTAAAATGTATTCACTGCTAAATGCTAAAACTGTGATTCCTGTCTTTAATTGTATAGCTGTGAAATAAAAAGCAGATGCCATTTATTCATTTTTGTTCATACTCATTTAAAGATCAGAATCTGGTGAGCTTTTGTTATACTTTACTGATACACATAAGAAATCATGGAGACTGTGATATACAGAGAGAAACCCGGCACTGAAAATCGAAAATGGACACAAAGTCCCTCTCCTAGTGAAGAAGCTACATGAAATTGATTCCTGCTGGAAAATGAAAAAAAATATTTTTCTTCAGTGATGTGTCACTGGGTATGTTACCCACACCCCAAGATAGGACCCATGCCTACTATATAATTTTCCAATAAAATATTGAACCAAGGTGTTTTGCTGGATTTTGTTTTGGCATTTTCTCTATTTTAGTTCTATTTTTACTCTTTTGTTTTTGAGATGATAATATATCATTTCTCTTTACTTTTCTATCCCAACAAAACTCCAATATACACCCACTTTGTTTGCTTTCAGATTCAAATTATCTTTTCTTAATTATTGTTGCTACAAACTTATATGTATATGCATATACATACATATTCCTGAATATAACATGCTACTTTGAGTAATGCATATATATATAATATATATATATATATTATATATATGGCTAAATATTTTATTAGATAACAGTTGATGAGATTTTCCATGGGTAAGGCTACTTCTTTTCCTCCCAGAATTCCTTACTGCTTGTAGTACAGTCTGTTGGGTTGAGGCTCCATGTTCTTTCCCCCACCCCCTTGGGCACATGTATAGTTTCATCCTTCTGTACCTCCTATTTTGTTTATCACATTGGTATAATTTTATGGGTATAAGTTCTGTCATTACTAAGATTCACAGTCTCACTACAAACTCTCTGATTTTCTGCCTGTTGCAATCTTTCTAGCCCCTTTATTATACTGTTCCAAGAATATTGGGTGCAGAAAATTGTTTTATAGATATGTCCATTGGGACTGGGTTCCCACAACTCTTCACTATGTTTGGTTTGATTTTCTGTCATGATCTCCATATGTTGCAGAGATGTTTCACCTGTGAGGTATCATGAGTACTCTTATCTGTGGATACAGTCAACAAGATTTAGAGGGTCGTTAAGAGGGTATGCTGGCTTTTGCAAAGTGGTATCATAGGTTCTCTTCTTAGATGAATGACATCAGTAGCTATGGGTATTTGGCTAGGTTTCTGATACCATGAATGATTTATCTCTTGTTAATCATGCATTAAGTCAAGTGGATATTTGTGGGTTACTTCAAAGGTATGCACACTTCTACTGCACCCTAAGTATTATGGAGATATTCTGGTCATAGGGTTCATAGACTTTATAGCTTTTTAGGACAATTGGTTGCCTTCCTCTTTGGGGTGCTACAATGATGACTTCTGGAACTATTAAACTAGTTCATGGAGGAGGTATTTATGTCGGTTCCATTTAGGTGTCTCTAAACCCTGAGTCTGAAGTGAATGGTGTCATCAGCAATAGAGACTTACTTTCTACATCTGTTTGCCAAACAAGGGTATAACGGATATGCTGCATGTTTCAAGAGTTTCTTGGATAACTCTAACCAACAAAATCCTAGGAGAGCTTCTGATGTATCTTGGGGTTTTTGTTAGTTGGTCTTTGGCTCTTTGAGAGAGCATTGTCAGCTCAGGTGAGAAAATTTCTTTTAAAATTTATATGCTTGCTTATATACTGACTTGTATAT